TTTTAAGGTGTGCAGCTGGGTGTATGCACAATAGATCAAGGGAATTCCATTGTTTGTCATGTTAAATCCTATTGTTTCCAAAACAACTTGTTCAGGCACTGACAGATCCAGAGAGCTAAGGGGTCCCAAAGGAGAATTTTGTTGTTGAGAAACCAGAAATTGGGGGAACTTTTTCTTTATCCATTTTTCAAAATGCATGTACATAGCACCCAAATGCAACACTTCTCAGATCCTGGGCTACAACGTTCTGGCACGAGTCAGGTATTTTTCAATCTATTTTAATTACGGTTTTGTCCTTATGTATATTCACGACACTCTATACTCAAGTGTTTGTCAGAGCTTGTGAAAAATTCACAGGCTTACTCGGATGGGACTTGAACTCATGACCTTCTGCTCGACCACTGAGCTTGCTGGGGTGGGCTGGCCAGTCCAAAAATTGACACCTCCCTGACATAAAGTACCTCTTGAAGTAGTTTTCCAATCTAGTTCTCTCTGGTGTTTTTAGACCATTTTACTGGTTGAAGATCAACCCATTACTCCCCATGTACTGCAAACTACCCAGCCTCTTGTTCCTTGTATTGTCCGAGTCCATCCCAGCACAGGATAGCTTGATGGTTTCATCAGGTAATAAATACAATGGACCACAATATAACAAAATCCTACAGGTTTAAACACATTAGTATCATATAACATTAGGAGGTGAGAAACAAGTGTCTGAATAACCCACACGTCTACCAGGCTGTCAAGTCAATAAAGAAATATACCCGCAATCAACTCTCACGGCAAGCTTACCACAGGAAGTCAATGAAGAGGCGACACCAAGATTAACTCCAAGGGATTGTCTTACCTCGGCGGTGAGGTTGCCTTGTACCAGGCCCTCAATGAACAACATCTCTTTGAATCTCAGAGCAAACTCCAAGACCTGGTCTCGAGTCACTGCGTTGACTACCGCACGCTTCTCCACAGGCGTCCACTTGACTTGTTGAAGGATCAACAGCCTCACGTCGCTACGTTTACAGAATGAAAAGGGAATCTCAGCCTAACTTTAGCTTTTATTTTGTGATTTTTTTGTGTGTGTCAATGTACCAACTGCATTATGTTTTGAAAAACCTGTGGGAATGTATGCAGAAAAAAAACCATTCCAAATCTGAAATGAGAATTCAGACAATCAAATTCTGAAAAACCACTTTATTAGCGCTTCATTTCCAACTGAACGAACCCACAGGCCTTAGTTAAGCCTTGTGCTGTCCATACACTGAGCAAAATTGAATTCAAATGAAAATCTGTGCTGAATTTGCAAAAGCCGAACAAATTTCCTCTCCATTGAATCTTGCCACAAACATTTCATGGCATCGGCTTTTAACCAACACAACATTGCCTAAATATTTTATTTTGTTTTTCTTTACTGATACAGGCCAACCTTTGACTACTTTGAAAGTCAAGATGGCTGCCATGAATAGAGTAACGCAACTGTCACACGACTCACTTGTTGAGCTTTCCTGGCTTGATGACGTGATTGTAGTAAGATTTGATCATGGATTCCTTCACTGCATCAAACAGGTCCTGTGTTACTGAGAAGTTGGCTATGTAGTCCACTATCGTGTCAAACAAGAGCTGGCGAACGGACAGAAAATGTAGCTGTTGTAAGACGCTGAAACCAAGTGATTCAGAATTGGCCTTGTGTTCACTAATTTTCAGTTGAATGGGCATACACCAAGCACGTATGCACAGAAGTCACCCAACATATGTGACCCTTAAACTACGAAGGATGTGCTGATGTACAAGGTCCATTACCAGACAGACAGCCCGACAGACAGACAGACATACTTATGTGAAGTGATTTGTGCAGATTTCAGTGTACATTGTGGGTATTGTACAATTCAACGCAGCGGGCTGCAATCACAAAGATGATATTGATGTCCTGTCTATCCCAGTGGGGTTTCCTACTGTCTTTAAATAGGGTTTTTTTTATTCAGGGCATGCCATACTATACATATTGGAGGTTGTTTTCGGCATTCTTGCTCTATGGATCTGCAAGTACATGTCTGTACTTGGGTGATAGTTTTGTCCGACACTGTGGGCATGATCCATGCACAAGCATGTCTGCACTTTGGGGGACCGTTTTTTGTCTGACACTGAGGCATGATTCATGTACAAGGACGCGTCTGTACTTGGGGGCCGTTTTGTCCGGCACTGTGGGCATGCTGCATGTAAAAGTGCAGCCCGACCGACAGACAGACAGACGGGGAGATAGAGCTACACACTTACTGGCAGCTTGTGGTTGAAGCCGTACATCTTCATAACCAGGCCTGTCTCTTCAGTCTTGAAGCGGTACTCTAGCTGAGCTGCGTCGGCCTCATAGCCAATCTCCGACAGGTTGTGCTCCAAGATAGAGGCCAGGAAGTCAAAGAGGACCAGGTTCTCTGGAGAGGCATAGACGAGGGGCGTGACCAAATGGAAGATGATGTAACCTGCGGCAGAGAGACAAAAAAAAAGATGAGCTAGGACGATGAATCAAATCGGTATTCTAACAGTACATTTCCAAAATGAAGGGCGTCTGAGATCAGCAATGCATGTGAGTGAGGTAATCTCTGTTGGTGCAGCCACACAATGGCCCTCATACATGCTATGCTCTTGAATGATCTTGCCTTCTTGCGCTGACTCGCTGTTTTAGTAACGCTATTAGCAACTGGTTCATTGTAGATATTTGCTCAGCAAAAAATTTGGTAAGCAATCTCTGCACGGCAGCACCAGGAAACTGGCCAAGGGGGGGCACGCACGAGACATTCGGTCTTTTTGATGAGCAGTTTGAGGAGCAGAGCCTGGGTATTAGGCTCATCGTACCCAAGCAACCGAAGTGAGTGTTGGAACTGACCTCGGGGAGTGTTGAACTTGGTGTCTCGCTTGTACCACAGCTTGCTCTGCTCACCATCCAAGATGCATTCTGGGTAATCGCTGTCTGGCACGTCTGGTGTCTTGAGGTCAAAATTTGTTGCTGGAAGTGAACAAAAAAATCATTGACAAAGTGAACAAACTGTGCATCAGCAAGCCTGTCAAAGAATGCTTACAATGGCATGCCTTGCTATTGACTTTTTAACCCTTTTCAGTACTGATGATGGAAATGTGTGTTGAACTTGACAAATAATTTGCAAAACTTACTGCTAAATTGAAATGTGAAAACAAGATTTTTGCGAAGCATTGATAACATTAAAAAGGTAAAAACTGTAGACAGGGTCAACAAAACAGATATGAGTTGGTCACTGAAAAATGTACACATTCAACTTCCTAAGATTTGAGTACCTACAAAGATGCCTCTCTGTAAATGAAATCTTGCAACAGGTGTTACTCTTTCTCAGTAAAATAAAGTTCAAGAGCTGGTTGCATAGCTACATTTTCCCTTCTGAAAAACTTGGGGTTCTGTCAACAGTTGGGGTGAAAAGATTCTGTTTTGTTTTTACATGTGTAAACATGACTTTATGCTACAAGACTTCATTTACATATTTATCATTTTGAAACCTTCAAAGTGAAAAACCTCAATCTCAGAAACCATCATAAATAGCTGCGTTATTTCCTCTGTTCTTACCGATGAATATATTCGGTTCTGGTATATGCAGCTCGGGATTCATGTCCAAATCTGTGGGAAAAATTGGAAGTATTAATCAACACAAAGTGCTCATCATCTCTGAAAAAGAAACAGATAGAGCATGTCTGAGGTTTTTGCCGTTTACAAAACAATCATTTCATTTTGTCCCTTTAGATTAGACTTTTTATTATCAGAGAGACTGGTACCTTATGCAAAGGACTTTTACTGAAAATAAAACAGAACAGAAAAAGAGTTAACAAGGATTACAATCCTTTCTGCAAAATCCCTGTACACAATACATCCCAAATTTCAAACTTTCAAACACAAAACATCTCCCTTCTTCTGTTTTTTTTTCACCGTAACTAAGATTGATATCATCAACTTGTCATGGTACAAGGAGCTTGCTGTCAGAACAATCAGTACTCACTCTGAATGAGGTCATTCCATTCCTTGGGGACGTCTTCTATCCGGTAATCGGTCTGGTACCACGGCTCCTTCCTGTCACACTGGCCTTCAAAGTGCTTCGAGAGCAACATGAAGTTTGCATTGTCCACTTGGAGGTAGTCTGTGCAGAAGGTAATGGCCTGCAGTGCAAGGAGGTAACAGCACAACAGCAAAACTTAAAACATTTTTGGTTTTATTGACTTACAGAGTGTACATTCCTTGTGAACATATGTTTAGGGTCGGGCTTTCCGTGGTTCCCTGCTGTGGCTCTTGTTTGAGACTGCAGAGGTCCTGAATTCCATTTCCAGCATAATACTCAAGGTTTTCGCACTTTCACCCTTCCAATAGTCCATGGCAAAGTTTCTCACATTTCCTTGAATGACCACCAGCCAACTTACTTCTGGGTTATACTCTGTCTCCAATAGAGGTCCGGTGAGGTACTCCTGGGGTGGGTACAGCTGCATGCTCTCTGCTACTGTCTCAACATACTCGATGGGTTCAGTCTGGGTCAAAGGTCACAGGCAGTAAACAAAAGAGTGAGCTGAGACACCAGTGACCTTCAACCAGTAAAATGGTCTAAATACACCAGAGAGAACTAGTTTGGAAAACTACCTCAAGAGGTACTTTACGTCAGGGAGGTTTACAAAGAAATCTCATACCAACTAATGACAAGATCTGAAATGCTTTTCATTTTAAGAATTACTCCTGTTCACGCATTTGACAAAACAAATAGCACAAACATGTGAAATAGTAAAGTGCTATTTCTGATACACTTCCCACCATTTAATTTTTCTGTCATGGATAAAGTTGTACAATTAACTGAAGGAGTTCAAGACCACAATTCCAGACATTTTGATGGCTCAGAAACATGCAACTTAAAAGAAATGATGATGCTTTCTGGACAGGGATTCCTTTTAACTCTTGATTCTGCAGCTGCTGACTAAATGCACGCGCACGTACAAATCTATTACCTCCTCCTTAAATCGGAAGTCGTTATCATCAATCGTTTTGATTTCCTGAAATATCCTGAAAGAAAACATGAAACATCATTTTGAAAAATGAACCTGCACAAGTTCAGGGCACGTTTACAAATTAAGACACGTGAATATCTAAAACAAGACATCAATAAATTACAAACATAAAATTAAAAAAACAGTTTGCGAAGACATGGTTAATCATATCAGAAAACAGTCTCTTTTCTGCCAAAACTGTTTGCTAGAAATGTTCAATAATTCAACACGACCCAAGGTGGCACAGGGACGAGATTGACCAATGATAAAAACAGCTGAAAAAAAGGCATAAAGAAGCTGAACTGTGAAAATCTCCTATACTTTTGTACACAGCCAGTGAGGAAAAAAAGCTGAAATCCAAAACCGAAAAAAGCTGAAATCGGTTAAAAAAGCGGAGAAATCTCACCCCTGGCGGCATTCAATTCAAAAGTTTCCACAAAGATCACACTTTTAAATCATTTGCTCTTTTGTTTTACCTTTCTTGAGGTCCGATAGCCTGCAGCATCTTGATGTACTGGAAAACGATAGCCAACACCTGTTGAAGGAAGCAATAGTGAAAAGAAAAACCGCTACTTCAGTACAGAGAGGGGTAACACGGAACTCACTGTGCCTTCCATTAGACAAAAACAGAATTTCTCTCACGGAATAACTTCTGCTTTGAAGCCGACGAAAAAAAAGTGATGTTGAATTTTGTAGAGGTTGGAAGAACTTTGGAACGACCATAAACGGTGCAAGATAATAGAATGATTGCTTACCTCTTCCACTTGGGTGAAACCCTGGTCAGTCAGCGTGATGGATATTGAGAACATGGCGTGGGTGCCGTTGTGCTCAAAGCCTGTCTCTGCGTTTCCACTGAAGAGGATAAGCGCAAGTGCCCTGGGAGAGGGAAGTCAGTATCGTAAAACGTACTCCTTGCTATAAGACACATATCACACTACAGAACTGAGACTTTGACTTGCACTGAGGAAAGAACCAATACTGCTCAATACACCACAAGCACACAAAACTGCTTAGCCTAAAAAATCTGCTTAACGGTAACTTTCGGCCAAAATATCATGAACACTGTTTGTGAATCCTCCCCAGCTGTGTTTTATTATTAAAGCCGTGTCTGAATTTCTTGACTGTGCCTTGAAGTGACACACGACTCTATGGAAAGTGGCTGCAACCATACGGCATAGACTCGTGCGTAATTACAAGCCATAGCCAAGTAATTCGGACATGGCCTGAGACTCTCACCTCTTTTTCAGAAGAGCCAGGATGCTTCCATGCCCCTCGTGTCCAATCAACCAAGACAGGTAGTTCAGGGGTTTACATCTTAAGCAAAGACAAGCCATTCATAATTTCACCAAACAAGGCAACAAAACACTCACAAAATGCAAGATGTTGGCATGGTGGCATTCATCTCACCACTCACAACTGTGACCCAGGGTCACAACCTTTCTGTGATGACTAAAGTGGACATTTTTGTCCCAAAAGAAAATTTTTCCTGCTTAACTGGTTTTTGTTTCATCTTTCTACACAAAAGTTATGTTTCTCTTACAAGCTCACAAGGAGAAAAATGCTACTAGGAAATCCACTCTTACACTAACAGCGCCAAAGCAAATTAAAAAAAAATAACCCTGACGAATTTTGGCCATTTTGACGAATTTTGAACTTTGCCAACTCATGTTGCTAATTAGAGAGCAGACCTAGCTAATGAATATGTATGATGTGCTCACCTATAGTGCTGTCTCTGATTGGGCATTGACCATGTGATGTCCAGCATGTGGGCCTTCTGAACAGGCACAACTAAAAACAGGTGAACAAAGAAGTGTAGAAAATGAAGAAAATGATGGCTCTGTCCCATCCAAAGACACACTATTCATGACAAAGATTGGTATGCATCAATTTATTTTAGTGACAAATTTTTGTGGACCAGTATGTGATTTTTCTGTCTTTAGTCTACACTGATTTTTTGGGGGGGAGGGGGGCTTGTCAAAACTGGGTTTTGGAAACTAGCCTAAAGGCTTTTATATAACAGGTTTTGCCCTTACCCAACGTATATTAATAAGCACTGTATTAATAAGCACTGTATGTATATAAAATTAACATCTCCCCAACGCAAAAATACATCTTGAAAATAGCCTAAAGGCTTGGGTCAACATCTGAGGAAGGACCTTCAGGTGTGCAGACATTAGGGAATTCATTCGATTTCATGCAGAATGCAAATGTTTGCCAGATCCACCTGTGATTGCAATGGGGATTCTGCACAGGTTTGGGGGGAAAAATTACCGAAAAATTGGAAAACCGAAAGCCAAACCGTAGCTTTGCCAAGGAAAACGATCAAGAGTTCACTTGCCTTTATACAATTTGTGGAACGTCTCCAACGAAAATGGTTCTCCACAACTTTCAGAAGATGGTCTCTCCTGTCCACTGTGGGTTTGGAAAGGGATCAAAAACAGCTGTATTAAAGGTGATTGAAATCATCAAGAGAACATCTGGTGAAGATGCATTTATAGTATTTCCCAATCTGTCCTTATCAAGGATAAAGGTACCAACTATATTTAAATGAAAGGGAAATTTATAATATCATGAGAACTTACTTATTTGGAATGTCTGAAAAGGTTTCTCTGATCCATTCTTCTAAAATGTCTAGAGTCTCTGTATAAAAATAGAAAAGGGAATCAAACAAACTATGGAACTTACTGACAGGCTAAGGCAGTAAAGCAAGATATAAATATGGAGCCAATTTCAAAGGCAGGGAATCCGACAGCTCGTAGATTATACGCGCTTAGCTCAGAACTGCTTAGAACATCTTCCTGAGGTATTGCTTGTCATTTTTCCTGGCAGCCTGAGGTCAAAGTTCAAAGAGAAGGGTTCAATGAATTTCATACTCTGTTCATTGCACGTCGGACCTTGAGACACGGAAGATCAGAAAGGCCAACAACCAGTCATACTAGAGCTCTTATCAGATTTCAGCGTCTACATATTATACAGTTTGGTATGAACCACGGCGGAGTAATTAAATGCATGCTCTCTGTGCGCTTGACGTTTGTGGCGTCCAAGAAGAGGGCGAAGGTTCTGCCCGTTGTCAGTTTGTATGCGTTATGGCAACTCCGCAACACTCGGCAAAGGGTGTTACATGGCAAATCGTTTCCATGCGAATCCCAGTCTGCACTGCACAGTAGCTGCTCTCTGTACAGATCCTGCAGCACTGTCGTATGACAAGACATGTACCTCTTGACTGGACAGCTAGAGTCATATACTGGGCTGAGTAGACTCGTTTCCTGAACTCGATTAAACGCTGCTGGACATCAATATTTCTGGCAGACGGCTGCGTCTTTAGGGTGGTGGAATTACCTGTCGATAAACATATCAAATTTAACTTGGACAACGACCTGATTGGTCGATCTTACTATGCTTTCTTTGCATGGCTTAAACAAACCGGATATCCAGCATCGTTTGATTGTTCAGCTTAAATATGGGCTATTCCAAGCAAGGTGCTTTACACCTGGCAGTTGGCACTTTATATTAATTCCACCAATTTTTCCCCAGTACGAGCTGAAATCCTATCGCAAAAGAAAGTCGATGCACAATCATGGAAAGGAGGGCATAATATTGCCCTCATGACCTCTAACGCTGGGTCCACTTATTCGCACCTCAACGTGTGACATTAGAGGTGTCGGCCTGACCAATGTGTGACTTGGCGCACAGTGGCTTACCCCACATGAACTTCCCCATTGGGTGACCCTCTCTGGACATGGCGCCGATCAGTTGTAGCTTGCGGTGGTAATCGCTTGGCAAACTCATCTGGAATTCTGTTAAGGATCAAGCCAGTGAGACAGAGGACAGTTGAAAAGCCACGGGTAGCTCTGCAAAGAATCTTCCTCCATCTACCACAAACTCACATTTGCAGGAGTAACGGCCCCCTACGGGTGTCATGCACACTGCCATGTCAGTACCAACAAAAAAATGTACGTACATTTGTAACTTGTCCTTCCCATATGCATGGATAGACAACTTTGTTGTCCTAAGTTAGAAGCCATTACTATGGCAGGTGGTCCACTGGCATTATTTTCAATCACTACGGTGTTGATACTTGCCGAAGTGCGTGGACGATTATGTTCCGAGACTGACGCCTGGATGCGGTATCTGCGCAGAATTGCCCTTTCCTCTGACTGGTATGTGGTCAATTTAAAATCTTCCGTCAGCCTATCAGAAAAATTGTGAATGTCTGGGGCCTAGAGTAAGCGGAAAACCGAAGCTGCAAAATTACACCTAATAGAGGCTTTGCATGATCGCCATCTTGCAGGGCAGTCTTTGGTTCCACAGGGAAACCTCCTTTGTGTATAACCTGGGGAACAAAAGCACTGGCCAGCAACATGGCAGCAATGCAAACCCTCTGTAAGTAATTGTGCACTGTCTTCCACGGGATTGGCACGATAGTGTAGAAAACTGTTGGTGATGAAGAAAAAACTCACCACTGTCGACTGCCTCAAGCTCCCTGTCCGTGCTGCTGGCTTTCAACAGAGGTGCCGTGAAGAACTGGGCAAAACGCATCAGCCCCTCATGGAAGCTCTTCTGGTGAACTTCAAAGATGAAGGTCGTCTTAATCAAGAAAAAAAACCAAACGGAATACATGAGGACCACCCGAACGCGTACATGGGTCCAGCGAACCCCAAAAGTGGTATAACCATGCCGAAGCTTTTTGCACAGAGGACTTTCAGTCACATGATTCTTGATGGTCAGCATTCAATTTACACGGATGTGCTTTCAAAGTCTCTCCACATTCTAGCATACATGAAGTTGCCAATCAAAATACAGAGATTCAAAAATGCATGGTACATATATGGAAATTGTCTCTTGTTAACAAATTGTGCATGAGACTTAAGCCAGTCTGTTGATAATCTTTTTTTGCATTAAAAAGACCAGTCTGAGCTCTTTGTTTTGATGTATCACTCAATTTAGCATCTTGATGGAAATGGACATTACATGCGTGGAACATGCTCAGGGCTCCTACTGATTTATATTGTGCAAAATTCTTTGTAGGCCTTTTAACTCACAAGTGATTCTAGGGACTCGTTTTGTAAGGTTTGGGACAATGCCCTTCACAAATGATGATCAAATTCACAGATTTTGCACTGATTTATTCAATGACCGGCAAAAACCTACCCGTTCACAGTCAGTTGAAGCATTGTCGGAGCCCCCGTGTGTCCTAACAAAGGCATCAAAGGAATTCTCATCCGGGTACTTCTCACTTCCCATGAAGACCACTTCAAAGACAAAAGTTTTATACCAAGGGTTGTGATATACAACACTGAATCTCTTGGATTGACCATTTTGTGTTGTTTGTGACCGGATAAATTCCATTAATAATTATCCCCCAACAATGACTTTTTATTCCATTCGATTTAACTGCTTATATTGAAAAGGCCTTGACTTAGATTTTGCTATCAAGGAGCTTAAAATGTATTTAGCAAGCATTTAAATTTATGCAGATGGACCACTTGCATTCTAAGACAGGTGAATTTGATGAAACTGCTCAAGGTTGCAAAACGTCACTCACTAAACCTTTCAGAAAGGATCTTCAAGTCTACAATCATCAAGTTAAATTTGATATGTTTATCGACAGGTAATTCCACCACCCTAAAGACGCAGCCATCTGCCAGAAATATTAATGTCCAGCAGCATTTAATCGAGTTCAGAAAACGATTCTACTCAGCCCAGTATATGACTCTAGCTGTCCAGTCAAGAGGTACATGTCTTGTCATACGACAGTGCTGCAGGATCTGTATTTAGCAAGCATTTAAATTTATGCAGATGGACCACTTGTATTCTATGACAGATGAATTTGATGAAACTGCTCAAGGTTGCAAAACGTCACTCATTAAACCTTTCAGAAAGGATCTTCAAGTCTACTGTCAATGCCTTCATTCTTGAAGTAAGCTTGATGCAAGTTAAAACTGTAATTGAGGTGTGCACATCGTGCAGTCATGTGTTCTGTAAGTCTCCATAGATTCCTGTGTATTTCAGCAAGCGTTACTCAGGAAGCGGGAGTGTACCCCTTAATCAGTCCATCATAACAAGTCTCGAACCAAGTCACAAACTATTCACAAGAAACGTGGCAGAAGCATTCCTCCGTCCAAGTTCCTTGTGACTGGCCTTATGAAGGGACTTGAGACAGGAACCCGTGATGGAATCGATTCAGAACCCGAATTGGAAGGACTCACTGTGTTCTAGGAAGTGGGCGAGTCCTGGTATGTCATCTGGTTCGCAGAAACTGCCAATGCCGACACAAAGAGCTGCAGCTGCCTGCAAGAAAAATAAACACACACCCCTACAAGTTGTAGCCGCAGACTTCTGGGCATTTTCATTTCCTTGGTTCATGAGCTAAACAGTGTTTGATTCAAGCATTTTATGATGTTTGAGAATCTGTGATGGCTAAGTTTTCTGTTAAATGTGTTCTTGGAATCTTATTAAAAGAAAACCAAAGACAAAAACAAAGAAAAAACTTCAATTTCTGAAGAACTGTTTTCAGGGTACTAAGTCCAAAGTAAGCCAAGGAAGCTCAAAGTGAGCACAAAAGACTTTTCTCAGCTTCTTGAAGAGCACTGATCATTCAGTTTTTTTTTGTTAGGGTGGGCATATTGTTGTTTGGGCAACTCCTTGTAGAACATGTGAAAATGTATAGAGGGTGTGCATGGCTGCCATGTTGCAGGCCAGTGCTTTTGTTCCACAGGGTATGCACAAAGGCTTCCCAGTGGAACCAAAGAACTGCCCTGCAAGATGGCTACCACGCAAGGCCTCTATACATGAATGTCACAGAGGGCAAACTTGCCCCCTTTGAAGTTACGTACAAGCTTCGGCTGTTTGGCTTGTGACTTCCGCACTGATCTCCCTTCACCGTCTTCACTCTCTGCATCGTCTCCACAATCCCCCTCCTCCTCCGAGTCCTCTCCATCCTCACCCTCCTCTTCCTCTGCAACTCCCCCATCCAACAATGGAACGGGCCATCCTCCAATGCCTCTGAGTTCACAACAGCAGCCTCTGAGGATTTGATGGTACAGTCCTCAGGGGTGGACCCCACCTCCATTGGCACCTCATCATCTCCACATGGCCCATCCTCAGAGGTCTTACATTCAGTATCCGTTTCAACCACCCCATTCTGTTCATCGCCTTGTCCCCATTTTGCCAAGTCAGATATCAGGAGGGCTGTCAAACCATTGGATAATGTCACCACCCTGCAGAACATTTTAAGTTTAAACTCATCACTGCACAAAAATGGAAATCTTTAATCGTTTAGGTTTTACAGTCTGAAACTACCGCAGCAAAGTGGAAGAATGACAAAATTAACCTAATGATGACCTGGTCAAGTCTAGTTATAAAAACTCATGCTTGCAGTAAGGACTAGGTAGTTGTCTCCGAGCCACACAACGGACGGCCAACACAATACATGTACTTTCACTCTGTCTGTTCTTTCCTCCATGCTCTGTCAGCTTGATCCACCATACGGCCATGTTGGCATGGTTGGGCCAATGTGGGTATGACTAGTCGATCAGCACAAAGGTATGATTGCGTTACGCTATTACTGTAACGTTAGGCCTCATTATCATCAGTCAATTCTGTATGAAATCTCCAGATCTGCAACTTATTAAACTTTCCTTTTTTGAAAAAATATTCCACAACTGTGGGACAGAGAGATAAGGCAATTGGCTGGTGACAAAGTACTAACAAGGCATACAGTAAGGCCAACCTATGGCACAAACACATGACAAAGATTGACCGATCACACAGACCATGGAGGAAGGAATAGACTGACCATTAAACAGATTGTGCCACCTAAAAGCGCTCAAGGTATACCCGGCAAGATATGGGACAGAGGGGGGGAAGGTCTAATCCCCCCCCACATAGTCATTATCATGATTAGGCCTAATGTGCGTGACCGTATAGTCGCCAGGTCCCTAATTTCGCCACCTTTTGTATTGGTTTTCACAGTAGGCCTAAGTAAGTGGCAATAAAGGCGCCTAGGCTAGTATATCATGGTCACACATGTTAGGCTAATAAAAAACACATCCCTTGATGTCCGCACGGTCTGGAAAGAATTCCTGAGATGCCAACACATGGGGGGGGGGGGTTCTCTCTGTCCCATATCTCGCTTCAAGTTCAAACGCCTCAGGGGCCAACATACGCAGACGGCATAGGCAGACTCCACACTGCATAGCAACACGTTTGTCCGGAAATTGGACAACCAGTTGTACACTTACAAACTTCCAAAATTTTTTACAAATTGAAATCTGTCAATCAGTTTGATGTTTGAAAATTGATTTTAAAGGAAAAAAAGTTAAAATCTGTTTTATCTAAATCCCGTTGTGACAAAATAATAGACTTACCGATATTCACGTGTGTCATATGGCGACTTTACGATAGCAGCCATCTTGGTATTCCAATCAGGGTAGTATACCTAGCGTTGCTTAATAAGTCTCGAACGAGGTAGTAATACTTCCACTTTCACAATAAATATTGCGTTGCATGATTATACTCTGATCGGGTTCTTTACAATTTACACCATTGGTCAAAAGTTTCAGAACAGCGCCACCGCACCGCAGTATTGAACAAGCTTGAAACGCGACGGAAATAATCGAGCTGTTTGGCAATCTCCCCTGAATAAATCGTCGAAAATACCACTGCCATTCACCTGTGGTAGAAAATTACGCTTCCCGTCACTTGTATGATTTTAAGATTTCTATAAAACTGGTCCAAGGAGGAAAGGTAAGCTGAGTCTAAAGTTTAACTTGGACTAGAAAATCGTTGCAAAGGCTGAGGCTCTGGCCTAAGTAAGGCCCATACTAGCATAGGCAAAGTGAAGTGGAGTGACACTCACATTTTTGTGCCCGCACAGAGGCCTGCCCTAGAAAAGTCCAGTTTTAACTGTTGATCAGAGGCATGGGCAGTTAGCATGCTCAGCTTAAAATTTGATGTTGTATTTAAATTTTTTTTAAGTTCTTGCAGTCGAAAATGGAAACAATGGAAAGCTATTCATCGGCAGCAGCAGCAGACATGACCAGTCTAGACCTTCCTCAGCAAGGAACCCAGCCAGTGGTTGAAAACCAGGGAGACTTTGATCCAGACAGGGCCGACTTCCTCGAGCCAAGGTGACAAAACAAAGAAACTAACAAATGAAATAAGACTGAGACCTGTAAGATTACGCTCATTTGCTGTTGCAATTTTTGCTGGCAGTGGCTGACAACTGTGGCAAGCCTTTAGCAGCACTAAAGCATGACGTCATTTAAACCACAAGATGTAGCGCCAAGGTTTGGAGAATGTGTTCATGTTGGTCACTAATGTGCTGGTTTTCGCACTAATGACTTTTACAAACATAATTATGCACGTGACATATTCACTTTGATAGTCTATAATAGTTTGCAGCGTTGAAATCACACAGCTGTGAAACAATAATAAAAGGCCTACTCCCCTTTATTTAAAATGGGACATATGTTAACTTTGATGAAAAAAAAACACTGTTGATAGCTATTGATGACATTTCTGCAAACTTTGACAGTCTATGTACAAAAACAAAGTGCCACTATCTCACGAAACACAGGTTTGATGCTCGGCATTGAACACATAAATTGCTGAGGCCTGTTCTCTGATGCCTTTCATGAATACAGCATTCCCACTGAGTCAGCCTGCGGTGAAGTGTCCTTCAACTTCACCGTTCCTTCTCAAGGGTTCCAGCCTTCAACGAAGCAGATCCGATCCACGTCAAGCTCATTGACCAGGGAAATCTTGAACCAACGGACCCAGCAACTGATCGATGACATTAACGCCAAGAGAAAAAGAGACACGTCTCTGCTGGCAGACTTCAAGAAGGCCATCGAAGTGCAGGTATGGATTGATATTTTAAAACAACCAAACTGATTTTCTTCAGCATAATCCGTATGGTTGTTTTATTCAGGAGAAACCTCAATGTGGCAATGGATTAAGCATAGATCTACATTACTAAAGTGTCCAACGAAGTGCTGGGCTAGGTCAGATTGTCTTGGACAAGTTTCTTCACTTGCAAAAATGTGTTATCTTACAGCTTTAAAATTGCTTCCAATTATTATTATCCTTCTGAATGACAGCACCCCAAAATAAGTTGACAGTTTTTTAGTTTTCAGTTAGTTCCTTTTTTTCCCGCTTAGGTAAATTCGCAGGTAAGTTTGCAGGAGAATATCAGCGACGCTAAGGGAATTACTACTGAATACATCACACTTTATTTACATGTGCACATTCCAGTGGAGTCAGTCGTGGCGCACGGTCCACTGATCACAATAGGAGAGCATATAAATAACAAAGTGCGGTGTCATCAGAACAGAGGTCAATTTATTATTACTCCGAGGCTGAATAACAAGTAACTTTACCCACCAAAAGATTAGTTTGAAAACAAAACAAGTAAATGGTATATACAACCATGCACAGGAAAATTATAAGGTAAGCTATCAAATAAAATATACGTCAAACTTGGAAACAAATCCTTTATGCCCTAAGAGATAGTAAATAAATAAATATTATTATGGCTGTGTAAATGTACTGAGATTACCTCCATTTCAATTATCACCACCAAAAAAACCAGGCATCAAACTCCTATGACAACCTAGAGCAGGCCATGTTCCAGATGTATGAAGGGAACGGTAAAGTCATCCAGGAGAAGCTGCAGGAACTCTTCGCCACCTTGGACCGCATCTCCAAGCTGGAAATGGAACTGGAGCAGTTCAAGACCTCTCTGGGGGCGCTCTACTCCGAGATCCAGGGGCCAGCTGCCAGGCCTACTTGAACGGTGCGGTGGTATCTATCTACGAAAGTGGAGCCAAAACTGAACGAAGACATTGCGCCCCAACTATAGCGTTGCACCTGGGCTGGCTCAACTGTTGTTAACCAATTTCTGTAGAAATTTCCCAAGCTTATCCAAGTTATTGCATCTCGCGCTTGACACAATTCTTCTAAAATTGATATGGCACTTCATCTGTGACGTGACATCGTAAACAATATGACTTTGGCCCATGCACACTGGACCTCTGTGCTGTAGTTGGGCCAGCCAAACTGCAGCACTCTAGTTGGGACGGTCTCAACAGTAGTTGGGACTGATGCGATAGTTGGGGCGTAACAAAGTCAAGGGTCACTGTTCAGGCCAGGGGTATGGCAAGGGAGCTTTGTTTTCTATGTACGCCTAAACAGGATTTGTGTCACACGTACCTTAGAAAACCTACAAAAAATAACAGGTGTTCAATATTGAATCCGCATTTACACAATGTTTTCAGTTTCTGTGCGCATTGTCTATTAGTTATTGTGCTTGCTGACGAAGGGTGGAGAACAGTGTCATAGTCAGGTCCTTCACAAGTCGTTTTCACAAGATTAAATATGGTGCATGATGCCAAGGTAACGCTTGTTACAATTCATTTGAATGACTTGTGATGGACTTACAGGCACTCATGATATTCGAATATGACATTAATGCAGAAGGTACGCTGAGGCTTCTCAGTACAGTCATAGATCACTGAGCCTGCAGGAACTGGGGAAACCGTTGGTGGTGCTGCACTCCTAACCTCTTGAATGGGAGGTGCCAGTGTGTACAACAGTACCCTTGACTTTTAACCATTACACTGACGGCTGATGATCATTTGAACATTCTGTGTGACTCAGCTCTGCCATACAGTAATGACCAACTGTTGAATTGTGATAGTTTTTATCAATCCAAGGCATTCGAGATCCGCCCTTTAGAAGCATCTGTAGACTTCCGTCCAAAAGTTCACGACTGCACATGCATTGCACTGCTGAAAAACAGACTTGAGTTTGATTAGTTCTGTAATAAAAATGTTGTCAGGCAAGTTAAATACTTCTATCGTATCAGAAGTTTAAATTCCCCCGATTGGGAAACGACCTGCATATGAGGTTTGCGTAAGAGGCTGTTGCCTTAACTTAGCATGGTTGACAGCCTTCTTACCAACAGAACAGCCCTGTTCTGTCTTCTCATCTTCCTAGTGTCTCGCAACCCCGTGCCCCTTCTAAAACGTGCATCTTTTGAACATCAACACCGTTAAAAGTTATTACCAAGGTTGAAAGGAAAAGGTGAAAGAATGAGAAGAAATCTCACCAAAAACAGGTCTCATTAATTATGCAAATTAAGAAACAAACTTGTGCTTTTTTCAAATGCTTAACTGATCAACTTATCAATTTTATTCTTTTAATCTGCAAACAGAAAAAAAACACAGGCCAAACAAATAATGAACATGCACAAACAATTACACATTCACAGTACGTCATAACAGAATTCAATTATGATAAAGTTCCATATTATACAGTGTATTTTAAGCGGGTTGGGGAGTTTTGGAATCAATATTTTCTGCGCAAAAAGTCATATCAATTTGACTTGCATATAAAGCCACCTTGGTGAAATCAGGAAATTAAAGTAATCCATAGAAGTATTTCCAACCAAAAATGTGAAAAAAAGTTTGACACATCGAACATTAATACTGGTTGTAACTGATCTCCCACAAATGGCACTAACCAAATACCTCACTTGAATAACTTCTTCAAGGACATGTATCTTTGTCTTACTCTTTCAGAAACAAATCAAATATACAAGCAAATCTTTAAGTCCTTAAACCAATGACAAGTGAAATTTCAACTAAGCCAGGTCATGGAGCGCCTTCTCCTCTACACTCAACTGTATATATAAATACAAATCTGAGGTGCTACAAGACCTTGCACAAAGACAAAGGCATAGTTAAAGAAATGCTTCGCAAAGTTTAAGAAATCATGAATCTCGGTAAGTTGTAGCAAGGAAATTTGTGATTAAGTGCAAAAAGCTATAGGGTGAATTATCTGATAAACTTCGGTCCGGCATCAGAAAACAGTCCTTTGAAATTCCTTCTTGCTGAATGGGTCTAATTCGGGCGGCCGCACTTGGTAACCATCGGCATCTTGATCTTGTAGTCAGCCATCTTGTTGCCGTACTTATTGATGAGGGCATCGCGGGTGCTCGTCGTTGGGAAGGGGTTAGAGTCGCCTTCGTGTTCCATGCAGACAAACTCCACGTCAATGGTCTCCTCCTCAGTCGGTCGGCAAGTTTGCAGGCATGTGGGCAATGGTCTCTTGGAGATGCAGGCAAACTGTTTTTTGTTGCCCGGCAGAATAATTTCAGTGGCATAGGCAAACTCCATCACTGGTGCACACTGGTTTTCTGTTGATTGCATGAGACCCCACCAACTCAGTAAGTACATTAAAAATCTCTACTAGCCAACATCTGTCTTTGCTTACTGTTAAGAATTCTCACCTAGTTTCCAAGACCTTTTTGTGGTAAGTGATAAGACAATTCAAAAAATGAAGAAAATCTCATTCTTTCCTAGCCACTGAAAATTCAGCATTTGAAAACTTCCAACCAGAATAATTTCTAAACAAAATGCCAAACATCTTGAGGGAGATTTACAAAGTAATAGAAGCGAACTCTTGCACCTCCATCAAAATTGCATTGTCCTCGGAACCACCAAGCTAACAAATTATTCTAAACATAACCGTGTTTAGCAGTGACTTGTTTCTCTACTTCAACAGTCTATTCAGGGTTAAGTTTGACTTCTAAATACCAAGCGCTGAACTGCCAAACGTGGCATGATAGTTTTTTCGGTTGGAATTCTAAAAGCTGTGTATTTAATGCACAATTTGAGAACCAGATTTGAGTGACAAATTTGGATCTGGGCCTTCTTGATGTCTAACAGTTTGTGAATCCTACGGCATTGGAAAATCTTGGAATCTTCACCGTACCTTTGGCGCATTCATTTGTGGTGTGCTGGTAGCTGCGTCCAAAGCGATGAGGGTTCTTGTAAATCTCCCTGTTTGGACCCACAAACTCATCGGAGACCTCACCGTTGAAATCGCCGCACAGACCGCAGTGTAGGCCCTTGTACTTCTGAGGCAGCTGTGTAGATGAACAAAAAATTGCCGTACAGTTCCACCTGTTTTGCCCAATCAATTAGCTAAATACAGTAAAAGACGTTGGTGTCTAGCTGGACACCTAGCTCGAAAAAAAAAAATGGGTAGCAATAAAGGTAAGAAAGATGGAGATTTCTGTTGCCTGCTACTCATTCAGCAAGTGACAAGACATAAAGGGGCAGGACAGCAAAGCTGTCTACAAAACGGGAGCCAATTCCTCCTGGTTCAAAATTAGCTAGCATCGAACAGATCACCCACGATGCTGAGCACAAAAATCTGCTAAGTGATTTTTTTTTCAGCTCAGCAGCTTTATGAGACTAGGGCCCTACTGACCACCTGTCCAGACTCACCTCCACCTTGACGTTGTGACCGTCAAAGAAGACCTTCAGCTCTTGCTCGGGGGCAAAGAGCATGATGGAGTCACCCAGCTTGGTGCGGATGATCTTAGCCAGCGTCTTGGGCTTAGGGGGCAGTTCCTGAGGGGCCATGGCGATGTCACCCTTGACGTGGTCCTTGAATTCCTCCCAGTGCACCAGCTCCTCGCTTCCCATCTCGATCTCCAGTGAGCTGGCGCTCTCTGGCATGTCCCAGGACTAGCAAATATGAGTGGCGATAAAAAGCAGGCATGAAAACGTCAAATAAGGAACACATCCTAACTAGCTGAGACAATGAATGAAATGACCTAAAGATGGTGATTCAAGATGGTCTTCTGTCCTAAGAGTACATCCCTGACCAAGCAGTCAAGTTTATCTTAAATCAGGTTGAACTAAGTTGAAATTAAACCAAATTAAGCAACATCAGTAAAAAAGACACCCACTGAGCGCAAGGTATGTAATTCTCAGCATGTCTTTGGCATTTCCGTCATGGGG